TTTTAATGGTAGCAACAAAACAATTATTTGATTATGATTCTAAAACTGAACATATATATATATATATATATATATATATATATATATATATATATATATATATATATATATATATATATATATATATATATATATATATATAAATGATACATAAGTTAACTGGAAGACATTTTGATTATTTTATGATGATAGTGATGATCATATGCAAATATTTTTAATATACAAGCTTCTCTCATGTACACACTTAACACTGGCAATATAACAAGAATATTTGTTTTAGTTATCAATAGCACATAAAATAAAATATTGCTCACAACTGCTTCACTATAAACATCTGCACAATTATCGATTTATATCCTTGGCACTAGATAGCGACCAAAGTGCTCAGTCTTTGTTACAAGAAAATCACATTCAAACACTGAGATCTCTCTAGGAGGAAACAAATCACACTGTCACAAAATTGTGTCCTGTGTGCAAAGTAACTTTTCATTTTGACTTATTTGTAGTAGAAATTCACAGGTATGACTTTAGCACATTGTCATAATTGACAATTAAACAACCCTGGAATGCATTTGGGTGAAAATCATTTAAACTGTTCTTAGGTGTACCACTAACGATATTGTCTGTAATTTTTATCTTTTCCAACTTGGTTCCATGCACAGATAAATCTGATCATTAGCCTGACATTCATAACACACACACACTATATATATATATATATATACTTACTCATTTTTATACCTTGACATTATTTGCATATTCAAATAGACATTTTTAATGAATTACAAAGAATATGTGGATCTGAGAAAAGGACAAGAAGCTGCTAATTTTAATATCAGCAGTTAACAAATAGGAAACCGACTAAGGAATGATCAGAAACAAGTCAACAGCAGTGAAAGTTCAAGGAATGTTGGTTGATTGGTCCTTTTTTTTTTGTTGTTGTTGAAAAAACAAAACAGCTGAACATTTTGGAATAAGTAACATTGTAAAATACTCTCTAAGCTACCACTGTAAAGGCTCAAAATATGAGAATGAATGTTTAACATTTAACAAATTTATTATATGAAATTACCAAGAGACAATTATTTATTTAAAAAAAAAAAAGTTAATTACATTTTGAAACTGTACTTCCCAAGTACATTTAAAACATTTTAAAACAAACTTGACACTTAAAAATTTTTACCAATTAAGCATCATTATTTACATAAATCAACAAAAACATGTATGCTGTTATACCAAATGTTGGGGAAAAACAATTCTCTAAATTTTGGTTGTAAACCCTATAAGTGCTGCAGTAAACGCCAGATTTTTGAGCAGTTTTCAAGACTTTGATCACATATTTTTCTTTCAGCATAAGATGTGTGTGTATGAGTATGTCTGTGTTTTTGCACATGTGTCTAACCATACAATTTCTGCTAGTAAACTGTGCAGGAAATTAAATGAAGCTGATATTTATATGTTAACTGACAACAACAAGTGAATTTGAGCTTTAAAAGTTAAATATTTCAGATTTACAATGAAACTTAGGAAAAAAACCAGCATTTCAGCAGCTTTATTTTTTATTAGTAAATTTTAAAATATGTTTACGCTTTCAGAAAGTCTGTGAATGCTTCATTTATTTATTTGAAACTTTAATTGGCCTTTCTGGTCATGTGTGTATTTTTCTTATCCAAGGCATAGAAAATCCTGACATGAACAGATGATGAACATAAAAATGGTGGGAAGAAGAACTTGACAGTAGTTACATTTTTTAAGCAATGACTAGCAACTAACTTTTCTGTTGTCTATGATAAATTATAATAGCTAGAACTGTAATTCAGATTGTTTCTATAAATTCCTAGATCTTCTTCCATTGCTTTAATATTACGATTAACTACCTCCACTATGTCAATCTCTTCAGACCGGTTGCCTGCCTTGCCAGGGTCACTGCCTTAAACTATACCATGAGCTGAGAATTCCAGTTCTGTCTGCCTTAATTTACCTGCTACTGTTAAATTAAAACATTTGAGAAACTCCTTGTCATTTAATTTGTCCACATTTTTACGGTAAACACAATTTGGGTCAAACTTTTATCCAATAAAAAGTCAGCATAAACCTCCTAAAATGTGCCCTAAAAAAAGTAGGCTGCAAAGCCTCTAGCCTTTGTCGCATGTGAAAATAACCTATTACTGAACAAATGGTAGCATAAAGCACCAGAAAAAACGGCTGCAAAACTGCTAAAGCTGATTTAATCAGCTTTCTGCACTTATAGGTTATGACAAGGTCTAACAGAAACAAATTACCCAGAGGTGAACTTCCATCTGAAGTAATAATCAATTCATTCATTTCACAATAAGAAAGTCACCTGCAATCTCCCATGTGCTAATTAAAAAAAAAAAGTTAACAATTGTCACAACACTGGCCAAATGTTAATTGTACATGAAAATTAGGAGCAAGGGGTCAGAGAATATATCATTTTACATTCTAAATTTTAGATTCCAAAAGACATAGTTACAGATGAAAATTATTTGTTTTGGTTATGCCAGACTGTCATTATTTTAAATATCCTGCTAAAACAGAAAACGGTGCCAGAAATTTATACCGAATTCAATGGTGACAAAATTGCGGCTTGGAAACACTAAAGCGATTTACAGATTTTAGCATTTAATTCCAGAAAAAGGAACCAAATGTTATGACATTTCACTTTCTAAAGTCAGAAAAAAACTGATGACAGGGTTTTTATTTTTCACAATCCTAGCCATGTCGGCTTCTTAAAAGAATATCTGGCTAACACATGACAGACGATTGTTTCCATCACTGCCACGGTGTTGTTTTGTGGTTCTATCTGCAAATCTTATCTTGATAAACTCATCTCTGGTAACAATGACAACTTTCTCATGATATCATATGTTGCTGGTGTAAGTTGCAGCTGTTAGAATAGCAGCTCATTTACCTAGTATCTGCTAACAGATTCCCCAGATATTAACATAATTTCTCGGTCTGCTTTGTCCCACTTGACCCGCTGCAAACTCATGTCAGTATTTTTCTCAAGCTATGCTCTTGTTTAAATCATATCCACAACCTACACGCAGCTTCACTACTTTAATCAGTTTTTTTTACACGCTGGCGTCAACAGTTAACTCTTCTGGTAACAAGGAATGCACCACACACTATAACTACTTCAACTTCTTCTGGTAAAGAAAGAGTTGAAGTAGTTACTACTTCTTTTATATTGTTTTATTAGTGCAGATCCAACTCTTTGTCAATTTACTTGTTATGCTATTATAATGGCCTCAAGGTTCCCCCAATGCCTGATATATTTCAATGCACTTCAATATAGCTAATTTAAGAAATTTATGTTTTAATACATTTCACTAAAGCTGCAAACAACCAGTATTGATTTTTCTGACATTCATTTAAAATCCGGACAAAGATTTTTTCAAACCTGTCAGAAGTCATAAAGTGAATTTCAAATTGTTCTACCAGTTTTCTGTTTGCAAGATACTGAAATGACAAATCTGGCAATTATATCAGTTGACAAGTTGTTGATGACTATTTTCTACTCTAGCCCAGCAATGGCTCGGCTTTTCCAAGTATTACTCATGTATCAAAAAGCAAGAAAATGTATTTGTACAGCCTCATAAAAAGACAAAGTGCTTCATTAAGTACATAATACAGATATTTTGATTTTTGGAAAAACTACAGTTAAGTATCTCAGAAATATGTTTCTGTCAACTTTACAAAAGTGAACAACAAAAGCTTATAAAAATAGCCCATCTGATAGCATGTTTAATTATATTATAAAAAATGAACTATGATCTTCATTTCTAGCCTATAGAAATAATTATATAGCAATTTTACAAAGGACCCTTACATTTGTCAATTCACATTTTCTATGGAAAAAAATTAATTAAATAATTTTTTTTTATCTTTTAATAAAATAAAAACAAAAATATTTTAAAATGTGGTTTAAAATATAAACATATGTAACCATAGATTCTAAAGGGCATTTCAAGCTATAAAACATTCTTGTACGTTAACTATTTTAGTAATTTACAAGGTTTTAATGCACTCAATGGATCCAGCTCTACTCACAGACATGGATACTTCAGAGGTTCGATGTGAGTATGTTGAATAATTTGTGGGGCGCCACCATAGGCAGTGGGCGCTGACTGAAGGCTAGCTGGTAAGCAAAAATCCATGGCTATCGGCAGGTAAGAGGCAGCATACAAAACCTCTCTTCCTTGCATAATATCTTTTTAGATCAAGGCTCCAGAAGGCAAGAGTAAAACTATGGTTGTATTTAGCTCTCACACAACATGCTTTTTATTATGAGGGAAGAATCTTGACCCTTTAATTATATCATCATGAGGGAAGAATCTTGACCCTTTTATGATCTCAGCATGAGGGAAGAATCTTGACCCTTTTATTATCTCATGAGGGAAGAATCTTGACCCTTTTATTATCTCATCATGAGAGAAGAATCTTGACCCTTTTATTATCTCATCAGGGGGGAAGAATCTTGACCCTTTTATTATCTCATCAGGGGGGAAGAATCTTGACCCTTTTATTATCTCATCATGAGGGAAGAATCTTGACCCTTTTATTATCTCATCATGAGGGAAGAATCTTGGCCCTTTTATTATCTCATCATGAGGGAAGAATCTTCACCCTTTAATTATAGTACAGAAAGGTATCAGCAAGGAAACTGTGAAACAATTTTAGAGATCGTCAGATTTGGAAAAGTACAATCGTCAAAATCAGTTGGCAAGGCACTTGACTGACAATGAATGGACCCAGAATGATTGGAATATATTCATAAACATACAACAACAACAACAAAAGATAATAATGAAACTGTAAATTCTCAATGACCAAACACAGTCAACAATTAAAAAGACATATACTTCTGTTTAAAACAAGCACTCATCAGTTGGGATTCAAGGCCTCTTTTTCTTTTTCTGAAGCAGCCAAAGTGGGCTCAATTGGAGGCTCTTCGTCCTCTTTCTTCATCTTCTTACTTCTGTACAGCTTCCACAACTTATCCACCAGATCTGTGGCAACTAGGTCTGTGGAGTTCTTGGCAATGACACGAATGACAAAGACACCATCATCTCTGAGATATTCATCAGCAAACTTCTGGCAGAGTTTCTTGTCAAAACCAGTCTGCAGTTTATTGTTGATTTTCAGATACTTCTTAATGTATCCTGCACGGTTTCTCTTGAAGACAACACGGTACAGCCAGCTGAAAGGGACAATAATATTGAAAATAAATAAACATTCAATGACAGACACTAAATTATGTTTCTTCATCATTTGTCCAATATTTTGTTTCACTTTGTTAGGAAGGAACATGGTTGGTCTGATACAGAGTGCACTCATGTGCGGATGGGGGAGGGGGAAGAGACACAGAGAGAAAAAGGCAGAGGGAGAAAGAGACAAAAATAGAGAAAAACAAAGAGAGAAAGAGACAGGCAGAGAAAGAGGGAGAGAGAGAGAGAGAAGAGAAATAGAGAAAAAGAGCGAGAAAGAGAGAGACGAGAGAGAAAGAGACAAGAGAGAACAAGACAGAGAGAAAAAGAGACAGAGAGAGAGAGGAAAAAGAGAGACTATAATCTTCTACTCTTATTTTCATTTTTACTGCCAGTGGTTTTCAAATGAGAAGACCAGAGGCTTCTATCAAGACTGTGGTGTGATGACTATCCTCCACTGATACACATACTCAAATGCCAAGGGCCCAGACCTGGCATCTCTCTACTGCATGTAGCCAGCACGTCTGTAGCACATCTTCAGTAATTCTGGGTGCCTGTGCTGTCCACACAAGCAAAGTTCAGAGTCCCCAATCCTGAATTTCCTGTTCATATAGATGTGGAGTCTGTTGTCAACAGTTCAGTCTCAACCAGAGATCAATAACAGAAACTAGTTGCCAGCTCCACAGCGAAAGCTGGTTGCAGTAGATCTTTCATCACTTATATATATGGGAGCCATTAACTCTTACCTAATCGTTGAAGACATTTTGTAAAGAGTATAATGGAACCAAGAAGAACAACAACACTGATATCCTGCATGAGCAGAGCACTGAGGAGAATTGGCTCATAAACAGCATTCTGTCAGAAAAAGATTAGCTATTTTGGCCATATTAAACACCATGGTGGCCTGAAGTGAGCTGTAATAGGATAAAGTTTGCAAAAAATGAGTCAGAGGCAGACTTTCATGAATGTGGATACAAGACACTGAAAATCCATGGGCTATGAAAACACAAAGGGCTGGAGAACTGACTAGAGAAAGAGGGACTTTGAGGTATGCCTTGAGGACAGCAACTTTCTGTAAAGGAAATGCTGACTGATGATAATATCTTCAATATTGTCTCTCTCATGTAGACTAAAAGACTACTGTTCATCCATTTCTTGATGTTTTCTTCTCACTCACATACCTGTCTTTATCCCACATTAGCCTTTAGCTTTTCTCCCAGTATGATTTTTATAGAATGTCAAGTCTCTTAATGTGGCTAGAATATTGCCTATTTTTAATGGATAAAGGGTTGTAACTCCTCAGGGAAAAAGTGATGTTTATCTATGAAAAAACTATCCACAAGAAATATTGATATATTGATGGTATTTACATAGACATTCCATCCAGACAGAGAAAGGTTTCCATCTATAGAACACTATGTCAACAATATGTGACTAGAGTTTATACAGTTTGCCAAAATAAACTTAAGAGAGAATATCAGAGCACTAATCCATTAATCCATGTGACCCATAAAAACTAACAAATCAAAAATATCAGATGGGTGTTAAACTCTTCATAACAGTAATAAGTAAACAAAATGTTGTTGAGTTAGTTCAGGATTTCCAAATATGACCAGGAGAAAACTGACAGACTTGACAAGAAACAAACATGTCTAACAGAAACCAAATATATATATATATATAAATACACACATATATATAAATATCTATATATAATATATTTGTATGTGTCTATGTATATAAATTAATAAAAATGTTAATTTTCCGAGTTTATTAGCTTTAGACTCGGAAACTACTAAACCGGTTGCTTTCAAATTTTTACACAGCGTTGCCTTTGACTTAAAACGTGTTTTTCTATCAGGATATCGCACAAACCACGAGCGACATAGCTCCAGCAACGGTCATTTCATTATTTGTTTCGTTGCCGGCCCAGATTTGTTTTTACTTGATTGGCCATTTTTGACTGCTGAGCAGGGCTGCCACTAAGTGCCTTTTCCCCCCATGATCCTGATATTTGTGTGACGCCTTTGGTTCACATTTTTACTTTGTTGTTTTCATATATCATTATATAATTACATATCTGTGGGTATTTTGTTCCTGTCGATAATAAAAATTGTATACTATTTCTTGGCTTTTTTGTTTTCGTGTTCCTTTTTTTGTGCTTGGTTTTCGAACAGGCAGCCCTGCTCGAGACCTCACACATCTTTATCAATCTGCCGACACGTCTTCAACTATTTCTTTCACACTGTCACACAGCGTTGCATTCAAATACGCGCTGTCACTACTGTCTGTGTAGGCCGGTGTAGCCAGAGTAGCTAGCGCCGCATACTGTCGCCACGGACTGTCAACATTAATTGAGCTCCTGCTTTATTATATCATTTCATTTTTAACTGCTTGAGTCCTTGGTAGCGTAGTTGAATATTCTGCGTGTCCGCGGGTGACCGGCTATCGATACGCCAATGGATGATAAAATATTTTTTTTTTTTGGCCCTTAACTAGGCGGCTAGCATGTTGTGTTGTGGTTTACAGCTAGGCTGCGATAACGCCTTTTTTTCGCTCGGTTAAGGGGTTTACAGCTAGCCTGTGATAGCGGCGATGTGATGTTTGTCATGTCACTGGTAATCTTCATTCGCCCTTGAGAGGGCGGTTGACAAGTTGTGTTGTATTTTACAGCTAGGCTACGATATCAGACCCAAACTCTTCAGTAGTATAGTTGTAAGCATTCCGCCCTTCACGCGGTTGACCGGTGTTCGATTACCCGCCGGGTGCTAATTTGTTTTCCCTCAAAAGGGCCATTGACACGTTGTGTTGTGGTTTACAGCTAGGCTTCGATATCTGCGCCTTTCGCCCAAAGACATCCGAATTCAGTAAAGTCCCATTTAGCCTCGCAGCGACGCTTCACTCGATCCAAAACTATTCATTGATATCTACGCTTTTTTTTTGGTTTTTGGGTTTACAACAAGCCTGCGATTGCGGCGACGTGATACTCAGTGGTCACGTCACGGGTAATCTTCGTTCGCCCTCTCACGTTGTGTTGTGGTTTACAGCTAGGCTGCGATATCTGACCTTAATTCTTCAGTCTTCCCCGCTGTGCGATAATTGTTCTTTTTCCGAGGGTGGTTGCCGAATTTGGGTGGACACGGATGCCAAGGTCAGTTGAAAATCGTCCCTTCAGAGAGGGAGAGATGACGGGTGCAGGATATTTTTCTCCGCTATTTGTGAGTATAGTGTACTTTTTACTGTGGGTTTCATCACTGGTTAGGTGATAAAATGTTATTTTGTTTGGTGCAAAATTAAACTAAACAGTCCGTGGCGACAGCATGCAGCGCTAATTCTTCTGGCTACACCGACCTACACATACTGTAGGGAAATTTTTTTTGTTTGTTATTGTGATGGTGGTGGTGGTAGTGGTAGCAGTAGTACTGGCACTGGATGGGTGATGTGGTAGCTGTTACACTGGCCACATTTACTTCTCAATACAAATTAATGCTACCCATTTTAGTCTGGGTGGACACGGATGCCAAGCTCAATTTAGTTACAATATTTCGTCACATGATGACTTTACAATCCTTCGGAGAGGATGATATGATTAGTGGTAGGGGGAGGGGGGGGGGGGGGGTGATGTTGATGCCAGACACTGTTAACTGAGAGAATTTAAAACATTATTTTAAAGTTCTCATTTCTTAGCTATTTCTATTTTAGTAATTTCGCCAGGGATGATTTTTCAATCCTTCGGAGCGGGAGATATGACTGGGTCGAGGGGAGAGGGGGGATATGGCAGACACTGTTAGCTATTTTCTTTCTTTTCCATTTCACCATTCTGGGCCACAGCAACGCGTGGCCGGGTACAGCTAGTATATATATATTTTATACACACACACACACACATATATATATATATATATATATATATATATATATATATATATATATATATATATATATATATATATATATATATATATATATATATATATATATATATATATATATATATAGCAGGAAACATATATATCTGATGGAAATAGGATTAAATGTCAGAAATTAAACACTCAACAGGATACACATAAACAGCTCAAAAGGGAGGAAAACACAGGTCTGACAGGAAACATATCTATCTCGCAGAAATTTCCTAAATATGACAGGAAATAAAAAATATCTGACAGTAGGCACATGAAGAGATCAGAACAAATCAAACATATTGGACAGAAACACACGGTCTGACAGAAACCGGACAAGGATCTCTAATAGGAATAAAACAAAGATCAAGACAGGAATCAAATATGGATCTGATAAGAATCAAACAAAGATCTGACAGGAATCAAACATGAATCTGATAGGAATCACACATGGATCTGACAGGAGCAAGAGAGATCAACTGGTCAGCAAGAGCAAATCTTGCCAGTAGTGACAGTATGCAAGCTGGCCAGGGTTAGCCATGTAACTGCTTGAGGAAAACTTCTCCAGCTAGCAGCTGAATATGTGACAAAGGTGCAGTTAACAAGGACATAAGCACATAAGCGTGGACTTTCTTTAATAGGATAATGTTGAACAATGGTCACTACTGACTTGCCAACACCAAATAGTCTTACTTATTTTCAACAGAAAAAAAATAGCGGCTATATCAAATAGAAAGTGTTTATTCCCCTCTGATGAGTCTCCATTTTGGTCTGGTACAGTGGCTTGTGAGTTCTAGACATTAGACTAATGTGGATGGCAGTTTAACTACTGGTGGGATAGAAAGGGGAAAGGAGGGATGTGCTTGTCAAACATTAATGTATATTTCACTCAATTACTCTGTCTATTCCTGCCAACATGCTGCCTGAAGGTGTACCATCTAAGATTTCAAAAAAAAAAAAAAAAGATTATTTGTTTGCATTCACTGGCTGTTAACTCTGGCGGAAGTCCTGATTGTTCACCCATTTTAGCTGTAAGTGCCAGGACCTAAATTTTGCGTGCGCATCCGTTTTACTGGATTATTGGGGTGAGAGGGGTGGGGGGGGGGGGGGGGGGGGGGGGTTGCATCTCAGTGATGCTGACCACATCACTAATCTTGTGCCAATTGGCCTTAAAAAATACAGGTCTAGCCCTATATGCCCAAAGACCTATAGCGTGGAAAAGTGTACTTTACTTTTACTTTACTACTAATTAGGGCACTGATAACACCTATACCAGCCCCATGTGTGCAGACAGTGATGAAGGTACTCATCACTAGTTTCAAGAAACAGAAGTGAAACAAAAACGACAACCCTGCTGGCTTGCAGGTAGACTGGGGGCAGTTAAAGGCAAGAGAAAGACAACACACACACACACACAAGTAAATTTGTGGACTGAAATTGAATGTACACAGTCACTAGCCAAAAAGCGCAGGAACCACACTTCTTATGATCACTCTCTGATTTACATTGTGTGATGAGTTCCTGTGTTAAAATTGACTTTTATGTGTGTATGTTTGGGAGTTCCCTTTTAGTTCTATACAACCATGACTATGGTGTTGACTTACTGGGCCAGTATTCTTTTCCTAATGGGCTGTACAAAGGATAAAATCGCAGGACATGTTCTACAGTTTGTACACACAGCCTACATGGGCACAGTGGTGAATTACTTGGGTGCCTGTTAAGTTTGTTCTGCCCTGTCCTGTGGGACGGAATCATGACCTACCAAGGCTGGTGGAACCAGACAAACAGAGAAATAGTTCTACAACTTTACAGGTTGTTGTTGTTATCGATCCAGCGGCGCATGAGCTTTCGCCCTTTGGCCCAATGCCATGTAGTGGAATTTGCATGTTTTCACAAGCTGTTCTTTTCCTCCGTACAAGGTGTTCCACTTGTCTGGTCTCGGAGGGAGTAGCGTTCTTCTTGTCTCATTGAGTTTTGGGCACTCAAAGAGATGGTGTTCAACAGTTTCATAGGGGTAGTTACATAGCTGGCACTCTGGGGAGTGTTGTGGCTGTATTCTGTTTAGGTGTCCATTGAGTGGAGTATGTTGCGTTCTAAGTCTGAAGATGGTGGCCTGGTCCCTTCTTGTTAGATGGTTAATGCTGTCATTAGGATCAGGGCCAGACATATGTCTATAAACCTCTCTTCCAGTGTCTCCCATGGCCCATCTGTTCAACCAAGTCTCTTTGTTTATAGCTCTTATCAGTGTTTTTGCTGTCTGGAGGGTTGTCGCTGTAGGTGGTTGTTCTTGTGTTGCTCCTTTCTTTGCCAATCTGTCAGCTCTGTCATTACCTGGTGTGCCGGAGTGACCTGGAATCCACTGCATCACTATTCTGATGTTGTATGAGGTAATAAGATGATCGGCATCCAGGATTATCTTGGCTATGTCAGTTCTGCAGCGTTCATTGCCCTCCAGAGCTTGAAGGGCAGACATTGAATCTGTGAAGATGACAATATTTTGGACCTTTGAGGGGTAAACATCCATTACAGTCTTTAGGTGGTATACTGCTGTTTCCAGTGCAATTATTTCAGCTTCATAGTTTGAACAGAATTCCCCGCATGCATCAAAAATCTCTTCAACAGATCCATCGGGATAAGCTATGTAGATTCCGTAACCTGCTTTAATGGTAGCTTTAAATGCTGATCCATCAGTATAGACATGTATCCATTCTTGGGGTAAGAATCAACGGTCTTTAGTGATGAGTTCATAAGAGCGATTGGGTCGGACTGTTTGGTTTCCTCGCCTACCAATTTAGTTTGGACTTCTGGAGCTTTAAAGCGAGCATGTGGTGGTAGGTTTTTTGCAACATTCTGAATTCCTTGACGTCTTTCTGGGAGGTGGTATCTGTCCTGAATTTCATTTACACAGTGTAAAACCGATTTGTGCTTTATTCTTTGTTTGGATTCCCAGTTTTCTACAAGATGTCTATTAGGATGGTTACGATTTTTCCTAACGCATCTTTCATAAATTTCTAAAGTGGCTTTTTCTCTCCGCAACCCGAGGGGTTCCACATTTGTATGGATTTCACATGCAGCAGTTGGTGTAGACTGCATAGCTCCGCAGATTAATCGGAGGGCATTATTTTGTACTCTGTCAAGAGTCTCTAGGTTAGTTTTGGAACAAGTTGTAAGCAGTGAGTTGTTGTACTCTATCACAGAGCGAACATATCCTAGGTATAAGCCCCTCAGAGTTTCCTTGTCTGATCCCCATGATGTACCTGCAAGTCTCTTTAATAACTGTAACCGCCTCAATGCCTTATTAATGATGTTTTCAATATGGTTCTTGAGGCTGAGCTGCGGGTCAAGTGTGACTCCAAGGTATGTGGGATGCTCTTCTTTCATCACTTGGTGTTTGTCTAACCTCAGGTTAATATTCTTCCTTGCTACTTGGTGGCTTTTGGTAAAGATTGTGTAGACCGTCTTTGCACAGTTAATCTTGAGACAACTTTACAGGTAGATTGGTGAGTCAAAGCTTGGGCAAAACAGCACAACACAACTTGCTTCATGATCATCATAATCGCGTGCCCTGCTGACTGGCGAAGGCCATGCATCTCCACAGATCTTGGTCCTTTGTCCTCTAAATCAGTTCTACCGAAGATATACCTCCATATCACAGTCGCAGTCCATTTGTCATCTTCACTCTCGGTCTACCTCTCATACTTCTATCTTTGATCTTCCCAGTCATCACAATATTCTCTAAAGCCTCCCCCTCATTACATGACCAAAGAACAGTGCTTGTCTCTTCTTTATAGCTGTATATACCGTGCTTTATGATAAGGAGAACAGTTATTGAAACTTACGTGACAAAGTTGATGCAGGAGAATGTGGCAACCAGCACCAGCCAGAACCAAATGACGATGAATATTTTCTCGTTGAAGAGGTTGATGGGAAGGACACATTGAACGGTCCAGGTCTGGATGTTCTGCAGCTGGCGGATTTTGAAGTCACACAGGGTAACCCTTGGAAAGCGGGTAGATTCCTTCCACTCACTGTCACTGGAGCCCAACATCTGAAGAACCTGTGGAAGCAAAATATAGGTTGGTAATGTGAAACAGGATGACCATGTAAAAATTTAATTGTACTGACCATTTTAACATCTTCCTAACAATAACTGCATTTCTTGTGAACAGACTGTAGCTTCTTAAAAACCATCCAACTGCTCATGAATAGAGAGTTTAGTAAACTGTGAGCAATCAAAGAGTATTTCCTCAATGGTCAGTTAATAGATTCAATCACTTTTCAACAATCATCTAATTCTTAAACCAGCTGTTTAATACAAATAATAGTTTCTGAACAATCAAGAAATTCCTCCTCAACCATCTATTTAACATATCTGGTCACTTCTAAACAATTATCTAATTCTTCAACAGGGGTTGTTTAATACAGATAACAGCATCTAAATAATCACCGAATCGCTCATGAACAGTCAGCTCCAAAGTCAATCATGTGCCCAAAAAAAGATGCAGTGCTAATATTGTCACAGTGTGGGTGGTGTGTACATTTTAAAGAGGGGATAGAAGAAGAAGAGAAGATATAAAAGTAGAGAGAGAAAGACGAGAAGAAATAATAGTTAAAGGATGTATAAGAGGACAATAGGTTCTCCTGTGTGGAGAGTGTAGTAATAAGTCTACACCCCAAACGATCAGGTAATAGTCAGTGGAGGTCTTATGAAGGAGAGAGTAGATATATAGTAAAGTGGTGGTGGTATAAAGACTACAGAGACTAACAATAATAGTACCACTCCTATACTCAACAAACTAACGATTGAAAAAAAGAATAACAACTAACAATCATGTTTATTAAGAAACAGCATTACAAAGTCGTCTATCTCATGTTACACAACCGACAGATGTTATATTATGTTATAAACAGAACGTCCTCACACTATAAAACTCAGCAACTGACAGCAGAATCCACTCAACGATAAACTAGCAAATGACGCCTAGAATATCCTTCATTGCTCTACAAATAATAAGCCAAATAACAACTACAATCTAGCCATCTACTCTAATGCCAAATACCGACTACCATCTAGCCATACTGCTGATTGCAGTCTAGATACCATCTAACTATAGCTGATCTACAGTCCAAAGACCAGCTAGCCTATTTAGCCAACCCGGCACACCATAACAGAAACTGCCATGTCACATAACATGAAGCAATATTTCGTGCATTATCTGGCAAGTCACAAAACAGAAGTATGGACTTAGCTCCATCGTATCGACATCATCCGAATGCCCACAGCATCCTTCGTTGGCAGAGATCTCAGCGCAAGTGTCTCCCTGGCTACTCGCTGGTAGTGTATATACCCCTGATGCCACTTGGTTATATATCTCTTCTTTGTACCTGAGTTCACGAATCTTATCTTCTTAGGTTCATAACCCTTTCTCTTTCCCGCCAAAGATGGTATTCCAAGCCACTTTGCATATTTGGATGGAAAATCCCCAGGAAATCTTGTGTCGTTTGCTTTGTTCGTTGCCCTGCCTCTGTTAATTTACGAGTATATTGGCCTACCACAGTTCATGAACAAGCTTGGCATGCACCCACGTCTTTGTCGACTCTTGAGTCAATGCCCTCAGGGTTGTTAGACTAGCGACCCTCTTTATCTCAAGCGACTCTATACCTCTTTATTCCTCCGTGTGTTTCTTTCCTTCTATTTCCTTCTTGTCATAAACGTGACTGTAATCAGTACTGTCACATTCCGGCCCCCTAACGAAGAATCAGTGCCACTCTGATTCCTGAAGAACCTGACCCTCCATCCAGAGACTGATTTCCCTCGCCTCTTATCAATAGACACCTCCCTATGTCTATAATCTCTCTGCTCGCCTTTCAGTAAGACCATCAGCAAAGAGCATCACATCATTGCATTACTTACAAATGTCTAAATTATGAATTCAACAAAAACAATAGATTTTCTTCAGAAAATACTTAATCAAATTCTCCTGTGTGCTTGATATGCAACTGTAGGATCCAAGTCACCACCCGTTACAGTACATGTAACAAACTGCACAAATACAACACCATCATAACAACAAATGTCACAAACACATTTCTACAAACTCAACAAAAACGGCAACACATGTTTCGCGGCAAAAGACAAAACACCTATCCAAATCGTCTTTGCCCACTGGACATTCTGTAGCGGGACGCTAGTCATCACTTCCTCTGTGCTTGTCGCCTGTTCTGACGAACCAAAACATCCAGACAACAACACGCGTAACAAATACAGCTCTGAGTACAAAACTCATCAACAGAAACAATTGTTTCACCACACAACATATAATCAGCCGTCTTCTGTTGGACTGGACCTGTTGCTGCAGGATCTTTACATCACCTGTAACAAACTGAACACTACCACATTATATTCATACCAAATGTTACTGCACCATGTGACCAGCGGATTTCTTTGTGTCCACTATTAACTGGGTCAACAGTTCACAAGACATGTCCTCAACTCTTTCTCTCTGGCTATGAGGCGCAATTTCTTATGTTCCTTGCTGGTCAATACGTATTGTGGTCTTGTAGCATTTGGAAGGCGCAGGACAACATACACATCATCAGACCAATAATCATTCATGTCCCCCTCTTCTGGTTCGAGTTTCAACTGTACTTTCTCGCCTATTTTGAATCTGGAATAACTTTCAACAGTCTCTGTAGGCAACTGCACTTCACTAGGTAACGCGGCGCAGGACTGGTTCAAACTGGTAGAATTTTCATTGTGCTGAGTTTTACTCGGCAACTGTTCAGTGCTAGATACACCAGCGGAAAGCTGACTTATAGCTGTCGAATTGTCACTGCTCTGTTTTTGAGCAGTAGAACCTTGACTGGAAGACACACACTGTCTCCTTCTCCTGCCACGCCTCCTCCTTTTCGACTTCATTTCACCTTCACCGCGAATCTGTCTATCATTGGGTTTCTCGACTGAATTCGCACTGGCAGGGCCTTTCAACCCTGCAGATAGTAAAACTGGACATGAGCCCTGTGGCCTCTTACGCCACGCTTGCCCAGTTTCGTTGTTCTTGCTGTAGTTAGACGCTTCTCGCCTCTGCACGTTAATAGGGCGCCGAACATCGCCGACAGTTGTTCTCTGTCGACAGGCACTCATTAGATGTGATGATGACTGGCAAAGGAAACATCGTTTGCGCTGTACAGGGGGCTGTAACAAAGCCGCTACTCGTTGTTTCAATTGTTTCACTTCATCCCTCAAAACGGACACTTCACGCTTCTCACTTGACGACACTGTAGAACTCACAACATTCACCTGCATCACTGACTCATTAGTCAAAACCACATTGTTAGAAAAGAAATTTTCATCACCCACCCATCTAAGAGCAAAATTTCTGATGGACAGAAAAGTCACACTAGGATATTGGTGAATCTCTCTCCAGCGCTAACTTTCTGCAAATTGTGTCTCTCAGTTGTACGACGAATTGATCTCTCAAGATCGACGTATCCCATGGGGACATTTTCACTTTCTTTTGCGCACTGATAATCGCTTGAAACGCTTCATGAATACGATGAGAAAAACTACGGACAGTCTCATTCTCACCGTGCCGTAGGACGAAAAATGCAGACGCTAGTGCCACGATGCTTCGACGCTCACCATAAACTTGCTGTATGACATCTAGCATATCGTTTGCATTCTCTGCTTGATGCAACTTCAGCTCTTGCTTGACACTCGATGTGACATGATCAAGCACCAGGTCAATCTGATCTGCCAGAGTCATCCGTTCATTTCTGAACACGGACTTGACTCGACGAACGAATTCATCTGTGACCGTGGGATCTGATGTCCCCTCAAAGTGCGTTATGTTTACGCGCTCTGGCAACATAACGATGTGCGTACACCCTGGTTTGTTTGACAAACAGGATCCTTCCACCGCCGAGGTCAGGGAACTGCCTTCATGGTGCATGTTACTGCTCACACGAGTGCTCTCGTCCATCTTGCTTAGGAGGTTCAACTGAATTTTTTTGCACCGAGTTGGCTTCCTAATTATAAATCCAAACTTCACACCTCAAAGAGATCTACTGGCTACTTCTCTACCAACAACTGGAAATAAACATCCACTAAACAACTCTGTTTAAGAACGTGAATGATAGAACAAGTCCTAACTTATGGAATTCAAACCTTACCAACTGACCAAAACACTGAACGGCCACTAAGAATCATATACCACATTATGGATAGCACCATCTACCATAGACTAGGAGGTATACGCATTCAAAAGGAATCCTGTTCGCAGCGCCAAAAATGTCACAGTGTGGGTGGTGTGTACATTTTAAAGAGGGGATAGAAGAAGAAGAGAAGATATAAAAGTAGAGAGAGAAAGACGAGAAGAAATAATAGTTAAAGGATGTATAAGAGGACAATAGGTTCTCCTGTGTGGAGAGTGTAGTAATAAGTCTACACCCCAAACGATCAGGTAATAGTCAGTGGAGGTCTTATGAAGGAGAGAGTAGATATATAGTAAAGTGGTGGTGGTATAAAGACTACAGAGACTAACAATAATAGTACCACTCCTATACTCAACAAACTAACGATTGAAAAAAAGAATAACAACTAACAATCATGTTTATTAAGAAACAGCATTACAAAGTCGTCTATCTCATGTTACACAACCGACAGATGTTATATTATGTTATAAACAGAACGTCCTCACACCATAAAACTCAGCAACTGACAGCAGAATCCACTCAACGATAAACTAGCAAATGACGCCTAGAATATCCTTCATTGCTCTACAAATAATAAGCCAAATAACAACTACAATCTAGCCATCTACTCTAATGCCAAATACCGACTACCATCTAGCCATACTGCTGATTGCAGTCTAGATACCATCTAACTATAGCTGATTGCAGTCCAAAGACCAGCTAGCCTATTTAGCCAACCCGGCACACCATGATAGAAACTGCCATGTCACCTGTTAAATATATTCAAACAATCTATAAGTTCACATTGCCAAGCATATAAACGTGAACGCAACAACATACATCGTATTCTACCCTGCAAACAACTGCCTTTCTTCATACGAATAGTTATCCCTTTAAACAGGCATTCTTATACCCTTGAATAAACCTCCATCCACTAACTCACATGTACTTCTTATTCAAAACATATTACTATGTATAACCATACATGCACTATTTACTTTTACCACATGAATGCCCATGCATTTCCTCTTCAACGACAACAATCTGGCTACAGACATGGCCTTGCATCCCCCACTCACTTCAACATCTGATACTCTTGTCCCGCCCCTTTACAGGTAAATTCTATTATATCCGTGTGCTCCCTTCTCGGCAGCTTGCCGAGGACAGTTCAAGCTAAATGACTTTCACTTTCCCATATCTTCTTATATCATTCTCTCTTCAAATCACAACTAAATGCTTACAACATTATAACTGCATCATGTTAATACATATGGCGTTATCATTCCCTAGCAGCGCCAACTCTGATGTTCAATATGATATTTCACACGTCATGCTTATCTGTTATCATGACCATCACCATCATGTGCTGTGCCGGTCTTCAAGTAGTTATTATATCTTCTAACAGAAGCCTACATTCTTCATTACAACCATGACACCATAACTATACATTCACAATTATACATTTTATGACATCAGTGCCCGCTGCTTTTCCCCTGTATCACAATCAAAACATCGCAGACACAGTCTGGCCGTTAGAAAGGGTCATTCTAGGGCCACCTGTTCATTCACCAAACCACTCTCTCTCTCTACCTGTGAAATACGATATTGGGCCTCTGACCTAAATAAGAGGGCAGCCCCCGAATGCTGCATGCTCAGAACGTTTCTCGTTTTATAACTTTCCTTTCCTCCCATGTTCCAAGATGTCTGCTCCAAGAAATCATTATAATATACATATTGATACTCATACTTTGCATTAATACACTTGGATCTGTCAACATGGCATCTGCTATGTCTCAGGTGTACAGTTAGACGACTCGCAAGATCCAGTTAACGCATATCAGAGAAATCATCATCATCATGTGTCCTACCAATAACCCAACATGATCTTATCTTATCTAATTACTTTACATGAACACAGTACTACTTACATAACATGAAGCAATATTTCGTGCATTATCTGGCAAGTCACAAAACAGAAGTATGGACTTAGCTCCATCGTATCGACATCATCCGAATGCCCACAGCATCCTTCGTTGGCGGCGATCTCAGCGCAAGTGTCTCCCTGGCTACTCGCTGGTAGTGTATATACCCCTGATGCCACTTGGTTATATATCTCTTCTTTGTACCTGAGTTCACGAACCTTATCTTCTTAGGTTCATGAACCTTTCTCTTTCCCGCCAAAGATGGTATTCCAAGCCACTTTGCATATTTGGATGGAAAATCCCCAGGAAATCTTGTGTCGTTTGCTTTGTTCGTTGCCCTGCCTCTGTTAATTTACGAGTATATTGGCCTACCACAGTTCATGAACAAGCTTGGCATGCACCCACGTCTTTGTCGACTCTTGAGTCAATGCCCTCAGGGTTGTTAGACTAGCGACCCTCTTTATCTCAAGCGACTCTATACCTCTTTATTCCTCCGTGTGTTTCTTTCCTTCTATTTCCTTCTTGTCATAAACGTGACTGTAATCAGTACTGTCACAATATGATGGTGTTATTAAGTTCATATCTTTTAATACATTATGCTTTTTATGCAGAAAAACACAGACATGGCTCAAAACAGCATTCTAGCCAGAAAGCTAAAGTATTTGGGTCATGTCCCATCATGGTAGCCTGGTGAAAACTGAGATGGAGGATGCAGTTTCCTGAAAACATTGCAGAGGGTGACATCTGTGAAGGAGGAATCAAGGCAGAGGGTGACATCTGTGAAGGAGGAATCAAGGCAGAGGGTGACATCTGTGAAGGAGGAATCAAGGCAGAGGGTGACATCTGTGAAGGAGAAACAAGGCAGAGGGTGACATCTGTGAAGGAGAAACAAGGCAGAGGGTGACATCTGTGAAGGAGGAATCAAGGCAGAGGGTGACATCTGTGAAGGAGAAACAAGGCAGAGGGTGACATCAGTGAAGGAGGAATCAAGGCAGAGGGTGACATCTGTGAAGGAGAAACAAGGCAGAGGGTGACATCTGTGAAGGAGGAATCAAGACATTGAAGATGCATTGGCTTCGAAAGCACATAGGGCTTGTTACCTGGCGAGAGAAAGAGAGACTTTCAGGCGTGTCGTGAAGACAACAGCATTCTGTAAGGAACCTGCTGACTGATGCTTCTGATTCTTTTTCTTTTGTAAATCCCTAACTCTGTATGGCAGTTTCCCAAACTTTTCTTAGTCACTGTGCTTTTTTTTTTTTTTCAAATATAATTTTTTTACGGCGCTATAACCTAAGTAAAAGTATTCGCACGTAAGAGATCAGAACACATAAAACTCGTGTATCTTTGAATATTCCCTGGTGCCCCTGTGAAGAGGTCGTGGGCTCCCCGGGGCACACAGTTTAGGAATCACTGGTGTATGGTATTCTTATTCTTCGCTAAGTTCCCATATGTTTATGGTATTTTTATTCTCCTATGTGACTGTCATGATTTATTTCCACACATAAGGATTGATTCTATACACCTTTCAAGAACTCTTTAACTCTCACATCAAATGACACTGCTATAATGATTTTTCACACAAGGAAAATTTTTTAAAAACCTACCTCAAACCCGTACAAGTTGTAGTCCTGAGACAAAAAGGCATTCAGAAGAAAGAACTGGGAGATCACATTGGCCACATACAAAACTTTGACAAACAGATAGAAGGCAGTCAGGTAAGTGCCAGCTCGTTTGTTGCAGAAGAAGCAGCAGCATCGGGCCAGAGCTTGTTTGGCTCGGACCAGTCTGTTCCAGTGATACTCTCTGTGAGTCTCCAGCCACCTAGAGATCACACACAAGGTATTATATCATTACTGTGTGTTTTCAGCCATCTAAAGATCATATACAAGGTAATATACCATTATTGTGTGCCTCCAGCCACCTAAAGATCACCACACACAAGGTATTATACACTTACTGTTTGTTTCCAGCCACCTAAAGATCACCACACACAAGGTATTATACCATTATTGTGTGCCTCCAGCCACCTAAAGATCACCACACACAAGGTATTGTATCATTATTGTGTGCCTCCAGCCACCTATAAATCACCTCATACAAGGTATTATACCATTATTGTGTGCCTCCAGCCACCTAAAGATCACCACACACAAGGTATTAAACACTTACTGTTTGTTTCCAGCCACCTAAAGATCACATACAAAAGTTTATATCATTACTGTGTTTCCTCTTCTTCTTTGTTCACCAGCTGTAAGCTCCATCATAAAGTCCTGGTTGTTCATCCATCTGTCACTTTTACCGGCTAAATTTGTGTGCAGTTGGTTGTTCCTTGCCGTTCGAGCAGAGGCACTCTGACTTTGAAGGAAGCCCCTAATTAGTCGACTCCTAGAATATGCTTGTTGGGGCAACAGTGCATCTATTCTTGTTTTCCCGAATATGGGGCCCCAGAACCTACACGGGAACTGTGTTTCCAGCCACTTAAAGGTTACACACAAGGTTAGCTATACCATTACTGTTAAGTTTCCAGCAAGCTAAAATAAGATTACATTTAAGTCAGTTATACCATCACTGATGAGCCTCCAGCCATTTAATATATCCTAAAGTACATGCTGTTAGAGGTTAGTAATTAATATTTTGCTGAAATTCAATGTGTTAGGCCAAAAATTGCAGAATTCTCAGTCTTACTGTCAACCATAATATCAACTATCCTTTTAAAAGCGAATGCGGAAGAATAAAAACAGCAGTGCTCTGTTATAACATAACAAAAAACTGATGAGTACTTCTTTCATGATAAGTTGTCTACTAGATCTGGCTTCTTTCAAAACATCTATTCTTATTCAAAAGGTTGTTGGTCTACATCAGGGCGATTCAATTGGTGGCCCATGGGTCAAATCTGGCTTGCTCAGGCCTTGCAAGTGTCCCACGGATCATTACCAATTGCACTGCAATAATATTTCTACCCTGCAGCTCACGCTTCTGGCCCATGACGATTCCCATTTTGGTCCCTGAGCCAATTTAGCCGAATAGCCCTAGTCTACATCAGGGCGATTCAACTGGTGGCCCATGGGTCAAATCTGGTTTGCTCAGGCCTTGCAAGTGTCCCATGGATCATTACCAATTGCACTGCAATAATATTTCTACCCTGCAGCTCACGCTTCTGGCCCATGACGATTCCCATTTTTAACATTTTGGTCCCTGAGCCAATTTAGCTGAATAGCCCTAGTCTACATCAGGGTTATTCAACTAAGTTTACTTAAAGGTCAATATTTTGGAAACGAGGATCAGCAGGGACCAGAGGTCCGAGCACAGAAGTATCATTACTACAATACAGCTGGCAATGATCAGAGGGCCACCAGCACAGCCGTTGTCTACATTAAAACAAAAACAAACATCGTACCTGTCCATGTATTTGGAGATGTGGTCAATGGTCTTATCTCTGTCTTCGGGAGAACCCAGCTGGGTCTTCTCAGCCATGTCCACAATCTTGTCCAGGTTGATCCCAGAACCTCCATTAAAGAGCCTCCATAGAATGTTGGGCAGTTTGAACATGAACGCCTGCAAGTAAAAAATTAAGTATGGTAATAAAAGTAGCTTTGGGAGTGAAGTAAACAAGTCCCAGTGGACCAAGAGGTAAAGAAAATACGCTGGCGTTGGATAGGACACCAGTTGAGAAGACCTGAGAACAACATAACTAGAATGTCTTTGCACTGAGACCCACAGAGGCAGGAAAATAAAGACCCCCCCCCCCTCCCCCCCCCACTTCTAAAAAAAAAACAGAGAAGGGAGAATAGAAGAAGGGAGGGCATGAGGAGAGCTGCAATCGATGGCAATGGATAGAATGACCTGGTGTGAGTTGTTTGGCGGGCTATGCTTCACTGGGGGTTAGAAAGCAGAAGAAGAAGACATTTAAAAAGCAGGTAAACATCCAAGAGTAGGTAGAAAGTAGGTAAACTTCCAACAGTTAAAAAAAAGTAAACATGCAAATGAAGGCTAAGCAGTAAATATAATCACAAAGCAGATACGATTGTTTGTACCTGAACTGTTAGACGTGCCCTGGTTCTAGACCACTAAAATGAGATGAGGTGGCAAGTTCCCTTAACCACCACCATTATACAATTATAGATGCCTCACTTACTGACTATTTACTACCGTGTGTCCTTGGACAAAAAAAAGACCTACAGCAAAAATTAGCCCAACCTAAGATCGTCTACTAGAATGACAGACTTGTTTCCCAATGGCCATTGGGAGTCGAGAGTAATTCAGGCCAGAATTTGAGATTTAGAAAGTTATGATAATGACATTGTTGTATTTGAATAAATAAAGAGTTTTGTACATGCGGATCTACCCGTCTGTATAAAATGAGCCACATTCATAAATGCATATGCGCGCAAAAGTCAAGTTCCGGAAACAAGAAGACATCTGCAAGTGGTGGTGAGGTGGGGGAGAGGGGGGGGGGGGTGGAGAGAATAAAGTCTGAAGGGACTCAGATCCTCTTTAAATACTTTTTGGTCGGTTATGTGGGGGGGGGGGGGGGGTTGTCTCAGTGTGAGCACGCCCCCAGTTATCGGCGCCCCTATCTCAAAGTGTATAACATGTCAAACTGGCCTACATGTAGCTATGCAGAATGTAGGTGCGGGCATGGTACATTTCGTCAGACTGTATGGGCCAGTGACACCCTTAAGTTGTTTGTTCATGTCGCTAGACCAGTTTATTCTGTGTCCCCCTAAAACTAACGTGGCTCGTTTGTTTCGTCAGCTCTGACAAATTGAATTTCACTGTAACCTACCTAGGATCCGCGTATGATTTGTCTCACGTACGTATAAGAGAGAAGGGGTCATAGAGGACGATAGAAGGAGGTAGCGACGAGAGTCTGGCAGAGAGGGACAGCGAGGGGTGAGTGGGAAGAAGGGAATGAGAGAGTGGGGGGAGAGAAAGTGGGTGGAGTAACTGGAGAGGAAGTGGGGATAGTTGTACTGAAGGTGGTTGGGCGAGTGAGAATGATGTGAGAGAGTAAGTGAACGAAAGTGTAAGAAGGAGAAAGAACAGAGTGGGGAAAAAACAGTAAACATAGGACTGGCACTATTAACCGCACGAAGCGTGTGAATATGTTGAGAGGGGAATCTGAGCGCCCATGGATGTGTCCGGAGTGCTGTGAAGATAATCTAACACATAACTCATAACAGTAAACATAAAGGAGATAATTGCGCATGAACTTTCTTATAAACATAGGGGGGGGGAGGGGGGGGAGGGGTGGGGGATAAAGGAAAGTGTTAGACTCTTTTGTTGGCACTGGCTTATCGCCATGCTATTGTTAAAGTAACGACTTCAGGGCCAGATACGACAAGTTTAATTACTGCCAGACATTCCTTAGATAGGGCTGAAAGTACAACTGTCTGGAGAAGTTCAAATGTTAACATTTCGCCAACGGTACGCCCCACCCCGTCTGGACCTCAGGTTACGCTGAAACCAACAGGGCCCCAATATAACACTGAGGTTGAACAGGGTTTCTGATTTGTACCTGGAAAGGGGGGGGGGGTGGGCGGGAGGGGTACACAAACAAAAAAACGGCCCAAAAATTATCTTAACAGATAAACCAATGCTATTTTCAAATATACTTCGTTATTTATGTTCAATCGTAATTTGATCTCACAGACACCAACGGTATTATAAAGTTGGCTGAACTATGCATTTCGTTGACCGACCACTTGCTTATTGTACAGAATCGGGGCATGACTGTACACAAGTTATATGCTTTGTTAGAGGTTACTGTGCTTCTATCTTCACTGTTTACAATTAGTTCCACGCTTTTTACAAGACGTCATTAACTAACGTCAACCTTTGTTGGCTGTTCATAAGATTCACTAGGTTATAACACTGTCAGAAGTTTGCCATTGTTTTCCGGTCCGTGCGACGTTTATTTAGTGTCAGCTAAGTATCGTTTACAAGTATATCGTGGAACCAAAAACAGCATGTTGTAGCTGCTAGTGATGTCACCAGTCAATGTGGCTGCTAGTGATGTCACCAGGCAATGTGGCTGCTAGTGATGTCACCAGGCAATGTGGCTGCTAGTGATGTCACCAGGCAATGTGGCTGCTAGTGATGTCACCAGGCAATGTGGCTGCTAGTGATGTCACCAGGCAATGTGGCTGCTAGTGATGTCACCAGGCAATGTGGCTGCTAGTGATGTCACCAGGCAATGTGGCTGCTAGTGATGTCACAAGGCAATGTGGCTGCTAGTGATGTCACAAGGCAATGTGGCTGCTAGTGATGTCACAAGGCAATGTTATTACGTTCAGCAGCAAGCCACTGCTCACTAAACGGTCGACTCTTGATAGTACTACAATGATGAGCCCAACGCGATATGGTCTGCTGTCAAATCGCCCACAGCTAGGACCAAATCCGGGACCACGGAATTACGACGTTAGTTCGCAATGCCTAAACCACAGACGCCTAACCCATAGTTGCCTCACCCACAAAAGCCTCACCAACAGACGCTTAACCCACAGACGCCCCCTGACCCACACCCACAGTTGCCTAACCCAGACAAGCATCACTGAAACAGACTGAAGAACCATAATCCATAATGACCTAACAAAAACTGGACAAAACAAGGACCGTCCAACACAACAGCAGAGAACACGAGACAAGGACCGTCCAACACAACGACAGAGAACAGAAGACAAGGACTGTCCAACACAACGACAGAGAACACAAGACAAGGACAGTCCAACACAACGACAGAGAACGCAAGACAAGGACTGTCCAACACAACGGCAGAGAACGCAAGACAATGACTGTCCAACACAACGACAGAGAACACAAGACGAGGACCGCCCAACACAACGGCAGAGAACACGAGACAAAGACTGTCCAACACAACGACAGAGAACACAAGACAAGGACTGTCCAACACAACGGCAGAGAACACAAGACAAGGACCGTCCAACACAGCGACAGAGAACGCAAGACAAGGACCGTCCAACACAGCGGCAGAGAACACAAGACAAGGACTGTCCAACACAGCGGCAGAGAACACAAGACAAGGTACGTCCAACACAACGGCAGAGAAAACAAGACGAGGACCGCCCAACACAACAGCAGAGAACACAAGACAAGGACTGTCCAACACAACAGCAGAGAACACAAGACAAGGACTGTCCAACACAACGATAGAGAACGCAAGACAAGGACTGGTTAACACAACGGCAGAGAACGCAAGACAAGGACTGTCCAACACAACGACAGAGAACACAAGACGAGGACCGCCCAACACAACAGCAGAGAACACAAGACAAGGACTGTCCAACACAACGACAGAGAACACAAGACAAGGACCGCCCAACACAACAGCAGAGAACACAAGACACGCGGGCAAGAAAATATACCAAAACTAAGGACAGATTTACAACTGTTCCCGCGAGCCGAGACGACAGCGAGGTGTTTGGTTAACCTATTATAATTATATAGTGATTTGGGGGGGGGGGGGTGTTGGTAATAGTGTGGCTACAACAGAAATAAGTATTTATTGCGTCCATTATATAACGGAAAACCTAAAACGCAGAGATGTCGAACATGCATTCTATCACTGCTATTAATGCTACTGCTTTAACCACCACAATCAAAACAATCGTTAATCAATACTATTAAAACTAAATATTAATTTAAAAAAATACAGTAAATTAAATGACCTAGGATACGTAAGATTAAAATGCATATTTTCTGACTAATAACAGGACACTGCAGGCTCAATAACCACAGGCATTAAATAAAGACTACAGTCCCGACAGTGTGCATTGTTCGACAGAACCATAAACACCTGAGCAGATTGTCTCCAGAGAAAAGAGTGCAGAGCAAGCTATGGGGAAACCATGAAGGACCCATCTGGAATACGAGTTCACAGAGGCAGCCAAACGAACCTTATCATACCAGACCGTTCGCTAAGAGGAGGGAGAGGAGGGGGAGAAGAAGAAGAAGAAGAAGAAGAAGAAGAAGAAGAAGAAGAAGAAGAAGAAGAAGAAGAAGAAGAAGAAGAAGAAGAAGAAGAAGAAGAAGAAGAAGAAGAAGAAGAAGAAGAAGAAGAAGAAGAAGAAGATGTCTGCGTGAACGGTATGCTACAATTTGACAGCACTGTCGTGACTGACTGTCGACCGTCCCCTAACTCAACCACTGCACGCCCAATGTGCTATAAGATATCACGGTTTGAGAAACCCTGAGCTCCCACAGAGAAATCTGCACTGTTTACCAACCAGGCTTATCTTATCGTTCTTCACTAACACCTACTGGCAGTAAAATAAACAAGGACCTAGTTTTAGTCACTACCACTGTAGGGTCTTTTGCAAACAGACATGACCTAGTGAAAGATTTTTTACACTGACAAACGAGGGTAACTGCTGTCGACCGGGCAGTTACCGTGTTTTTCATCTACCATCTAAATGTTTCTATTGATTCTTTACAGGGGTAATAGATTTTCTACAGTGTAAATTGGACTCGGTGTTTAAAAAAACCGGACACAATTTGTAGTAAAGTCAAATTATAGGGTCTTGATAAAAGTTAATTTTAAGGCGAAAATTACAATATATATATATATTCCAAAGTATGTTTGTTCTCCACTAATTGCCGTCGAGACTCAGGCAGGAGTATAATAAGGAAAAATATCTGGACAAATGGTACGAGTTCCAGGCGAAAAAATTCTTCACCCACTACTGACTGGATTAGGTTTTGTGAGTGCGCAGATGGCTGATGAGGCCAATTCTGACACGGAATGTCATTAGGCAGTGTAGACAAGGAATGACAACTGCAGGACATCAGTATAAAGGGACCACATGAAATGGCATGAGGACATCAGTGTAAAGGGGACCATAGAAAGTGGCACGAGGACACCAGTGTAAAGGGACCACATGAAATGGAACGAGGACACCAGTGTAAAGGGATCACATGAAATGGCATAAGGACACCAGTGTAAAGGGGACCATAGAAAGTGGCACAAGGACACCATTGTAAACGGACCACATGAAATGGCATCATGACATCAGTGTAAAGGGACCACATAAAATAGCATGAGTACATCAGTGTAAAGGGACCACATGGAACAACACGAGGACACCCGTGTAAAGGAACTACATGGAATGACATGAGGACATCAGTGTAAAGGGACCACACGGAATGGCATGAGGACATCAGTGTAAAGGGACCACATGGAATGGCATGAGGACATCAGTGTAAAGGGACCACATGAAATGACACGAGGACATCAGTGTAAATGGACCACATGAAATGACACGAGGACACCAGTGTAAAGGGACCACATGGAATGGCATGAGGACACCGGTGTAAAGGGACTACATGAAATGACATGAGGACATCAGTGTAAAGGGACCACATGAAATGACATGAGGACATCAGTGTAAAGGGACCACATGAAATGGCATGAGGACCTCAGTGTAAAGGGACCACATGGAATGGCATGAGGACCTCAGTGTAAAGGGACCACATGGAATGGCATGAGGACATCAGTCAAAGGGACCACATGAAATGGCAAGAGGACATCAGTGTAAAGGAACCACATGAAATGGCATGAGGACATCAGTGTAGAGGGACCACATGGAATGGCATGAGGACACCAGTGTAAAGGGACCACATGGAATGGCATGACGACACCAGTGTAAAGGGGACCACATGAAATGGAATGAGGACATCAGTGTAAAGGGACCACATGGAATGGCATGAGGACATCAGTGTAAAGGGACCACATGAAATGGCATGAGGACATCAGTGTAAAGGGACCACATGGAATGGCATGAGGACACCAGTGTAAAGGGGACCATAGAAAGTGGCACGAGGACATCAGTGTAAAGGGACCACATGGAATGGCACTATTACATAATTAAAGACTAAATAAAATGGCATGAGAACAGTAGTGTAAAGGGCGAACCAGTACGAATATATAATTTAGGAAACAGCAAAGAATGAATGGGTGAAGGACCAACTTTTCACACTCCACTGGCAGATATCTACTATGTGACTGCCTTTTTCCTGTTTATAAATGTTAGTTGTCTCCACAATTATACTCAGTTGATTGTTATTTTGAATAATGAGTTCAGCTGCCCCACATTTTGCTCTGATGTCATCAACCAATCTGGACTGACGGAGTCCACAGGCATGATTTTCAGCATTAATTAATCAGACGTAATCCGTCTATATACTGCAACAGTGAATGAATACACATTGGCGTCTATGTGGGAAATGTGGTCACAGTATAACATTACAAGGACATCCAATACAAGAACTGCCATCTCGCACAGGAAGCAAAGCAACTGTTCTGTGAAGGTCACTGAGGTTCTAAGTCTCCAGACCATGTCCTGCTAGCTTCTAAAGGAGCAGCGAGCAGCTCATCATGGGCGAAATAATCAAATATCACAGTTGATCTTTCCTCTTGAGCCTAGGGAGGCGCACTGAGCAGTGGTCATAGCTCTCCATGTCTGGCAGTTTGTTGCTACCTGTTTTGTGTCTTGGATTCTGAGCCTTCCCTGATAATGGTTTTATATAGGGTCTCTTTTGATGTTTCCCGCTTTCTTTTCCTTTCCGGCGTCCATATGATGGTTTGTTGGGGGAGTTTGTTCTTATCCATTCTGACAGCATGACCGATGTAGATGCAGCGGCGCTTTCTCATAAATTGGATACATTATCTTTCTTGGTTAGGTCTCTTGTCTTATTTGAGTATTGGATCTAAACTCTTAAGACATTAGCTCCCAAAATTGTATAATTTTTGTTTCTATCTTAGCTATTGTTGCTTTCCAACTCTCCCTTAGCATAAGTTAGCACTGTAATCACACATGAGTTGCAGATCTTAAGTTAGGTGTGTCTGCTGAATGTCTTTGTTATCAAAGTACAGCAAAATAAAGCGCCTTTATGTGAACGCAGAAACAACAGGAGAGAGAGAGAGAGGAGGGGTGGGGGGGGGGGGGGTGCCAATTTACAACACGCACACGCAACATGTCTGAGAGTTCAACATTTCGAAAGTTCTAGACGGCTTGTACTGTTTCGAATCAATGCTGTTGAAAACACGAGCACATAAACATGCTATCTTCTCCAATAGTGTCAAGTGTTGTGTAACGATTCGGTGTCAGATTATTTCGATTATATTTGGAAATGTGTCATTTTTTTAAACTTTCTCCCCATTCTCCACTGTCACTGAACTCTTCACGATTGATTTCAAACATTGGACCACTTTCACTAATAAATAGTGGCATCTCCAATGACAACGTCAACACAGTACATTTACCTCCCACAAGTCAAGAAAATGACAACGATTCGGTTTACGACACCCGTCAGGAATCTTAAGACATAACAGCGGGGAACGACTGCGCGCTCAGTCTCAATACCTTCGTAATGACAGTAAATTGTTAGAGGACCATTTTTTTAAACCTTAAACGAGGAGGGGAGCATTGGATTTGCAATGATATAAATTGTGACTCAAGTGGTTCAGATACTGCATTGAGTGAGGACACAAAAGCGTATACATGAATGTCGGGAAGGAACAATACTCGTATCTAGCAATGTTGTAATGCACACTGCACAACAATACACAAGACGGGACACACACACATACACACACAAACAAAACTACGTGGCGTATAAAACAACCTCAGCATGATATAATAATATCACGTAAAATGTACAATTACTATAAAATAGCATGCACAATAAATAAAATCTAGTGTAAAAAACTGGTATGTGTAAGTTTGTAAGTTTTGATATCAATTGAGCACAGTAGAGATTTCAGTATGGCCTGTACCTGTCCAAGTATGGGGAAAATCCCGACTAGAGATGCCTCGACCTTGATTAGCTGGCCAAGCATATGGGAGATAACCCCGTGTCCACCTTGTTGTTGATCCATACCTGCCTCTACTACCAGGACCCATGTCTCCTGTTTTTTTTTTCCTGTCCCACATTTAAATATCCACACATTTAACATCAATCAGCAAGTCCTTTACAGAACGTCGCTCTCTTCACGGCACGCCTGAAAGTATCCCTTTTCCTTGTCAGCTCTCCAGCCCCATGTGCTTTCAATACCAATTCTTCTTCAATGTTCTGTATCCATCTTCACGGTGGTCGACCCCTGCCTCGCCTTCCACAAACTGCACCTTCCATCACCGTCTTTTCCAAGCCACCATGACTCTTTATGTGGGCAAAATACTTCCACTTTCGGCACATGATGCTGTTGATCCACAATATTTCTTTAAAAAATATGATGATATTTTTGTTGGCTTCACTGATAGGAACCGTCCCAACACTGGAGGCAATTTTTCGTTATTCTAAAAACCTTCCACGGCTGTCGTCGAGGGTCATAATGTAACCTAACGATTGAACGTGGTTTCTGGGACTTCCGCCTGGGTGATTATTATCCAAATGGTGCCACTTTGTGCCACTGGGTGTTTATCGCTCGTTCTTCGGTTCTAGTGGGGTTGAACTTCGTTCATTTTGTTTACTCTCAAGATCTACGCTATTTTAAGAAACTTTTTATAAGCTCTAAATTTAAAAGCTCTCATCCATTCTCTTGTACCAGGTGCAGTCCTGGAAAGTAAAGGCGGCCGGCGTGACGCTGACCACATCACCCACCAAGTGCCGATTGGTCTATAACAAAATATAGGTCTAGTCTATATTCCTAATACACCTAAAGGTGTGAAAATGGGATTTTTTTTTTTTTACCTCTTACTGATTCCCGTACATTATATCCTTACCCGAACACGAACTGCAGGTGAAACCACACACCTGCCTAGTGTAGTCGTCATGTATACCCGTCCAAATTATAAATTCTGTGGAGGTTTTACTCAATATCTGGGACTGCCCTGTTGGTCTGTCACCAAAGATATGATTACTACAGTCTCAAAGGTCATCACAACTTCAGGTAGCTAACCAGATGGGAGAACCAAAAGACAGTTAACATTAGCTCTTTTCTGCAAAAATTATAACCAACATCTCACAGAAATAGGTAACTTGACGATAAACAAAGAATAGAGGTAGCCAAGGTAACTTACCATAAACAAGAGAATCAATGGCACCCACTGGTAATAGGTCAGCTCTTCAGACTCTCGGCTGGCATGGTCAATGGGGATTGGCGTATCCATGGGAATGTAATACGTGTTCTTAATCCAGCAGTAACTTTTGGCGTAGTCAACGTAGGCCCCAGTGAACTCAGCTGGACACCAGCAATGGATAGGGTCGCCAACAAACTGTCCAGTGCTGACCACGATGGCGAACAAGGCCAGGAGAAACACTGACCACACGTGGTTAAGTCTGTCCACCCAGTCATCGTTGCTGGCTCCTTGGAGCTTTTTTAAGGAGGGAACACCTCCGATAATTGCTCCTATAGACCTGTGAATATTTTAGATTATGGATTTTAAACAAATGAAGTAAACATGTGCTGTAAAGCTATAACGACGAAGAAAATAAAATAGAAGAAGAAGTAGAAGAAGCAGAAGTAGAAGAAGCAGAAGTAGAAGAAGCAGAAGAAGAAGAAGAAGAAGAAGAAGAAGAAGAAGAAGAAGAAGAAGAAGAAGAAGAAGAAGAAGAAGAAGAAGAAGAAGAAGAAGAAGAAGAAAAAAGAAGAAAGAGGAGGAGGAGAGAAGAAGAAGAAGAAGAAGAAGAAGAAGAAGAAGAAGAAGAAGAAGAAGAAGAAGAAGAAGAAGAAGAAGAAGAAGAAGAAGAAGAAGAAGAAGAAGAAGAAGAAGAAGAAGAAGAAGAAGAAGAAGAAGAAGAAGAAAAGACCGCAACTCTCTCATCCGCTAAAACTACTCAAAATTACTTCTTTTCTATTCTTTTCAAGCTTTGCGAACGTGGGTTGGGGGGTGGTAGTGGATCTATTCATGTTATGGGCGCCGGAACACACATATGGACAAATAATCGTGACCGTCCTACAATTCTTTATTTGTCACATCATCCTTTCTAATTTTGCTGGCAGCCATTCTCAAACATCGAATTTCACAGCAAATTTACACCATATTGAATATTTTCCCCAGGCTGGAGATCAGGGAGTTGGCATCTTGAAGTTTAACCAATCCAAATGTCTGGGCTACCTATTCTTCAAGTCTTTACAGCAATGACATTCAAATTTACAACCTTAATCTAGATCCTTTTATGGCTATTATTATGACGACCTACAAGCCTTCTGTGTCACGCAGACAACATATTATACCGCAGATTACAATAATAGGTTACATTAGGCGGATCTCGCATACAGCCATAAATATGTGTGTGTCAAAAATAACCATAAATTTTTTCTTAAGGTTTTTAACAACGGATCAACATTACAGTACACGGGTAGTAACCCACAAGTGCTCCGTTCTTCTCCTAACTCAAGTTCAAGTCCGAAGAAGCTCAACATAGTGCACAGGCTCTATAGCACCGGCGAGGATCTTGAAATACTTTGGGTAGATTTTTAACTCTAAATTTTGCCCTGGCAGCGCCGTTAGGCTACTCTTTTACTGCCTAGGGATTTTTTTTTTACATGCGCAACAATGCATATGGGCGTCCGATCATACTACCCAGAGACCAGGGAGAATTACTAGAAGATCAAGTCCACGTGAATAAATCCCAGCCCTTACAGGGGATTAAACCCGGAACCTCTTTTACTCGAGGCGGACACCATGCCTCGAGATCAGACACCCCCCCCCCTCACCCCGCAACTTTTTAAGTTTGTTCTTTAGCATTCACCTTTCAACAACCAAAGGGTGTTTGTTATTCGTTAGCGTGCTTTTTTTTTAAAACTAGGTCAGAGCTCCAGGGTTCAAAAGTCAGTAAAGGTAAGATTAACGTTAGCGTCGAAAGGATCGACTCCGTTGCACCGGGCTGAGTCCTACAAGGCTCGATGTCTCTCCATAAAAAGACTTCCGATAGCGCCACGCAAAGTACGAAAAGCTAGCTCCGGCGGCTATGCCCAGGGATCTCCGTAAAAACTGCACTAAATGATGCATCTGTAAACGGAACCTCCAGTCATCAGAGAGCAAGCCAAACGGCTTGACCACTCCCCCACAGTTCCCCTTCCTAACCTTGTTTCCCCTCGCAAACTGGCAAGAAAATGTGCCTATGACTATTGGTATATGGTCGATACAAAATTATCTTATGAGTGTTCACTGGTTGTAAACTCCGGGCTAAACTAATTCAGGGACCTCTCCATGGGTGATCCTCATCTGGATGGTGGTATTGTGTTTATCGCTCTGTGTGACGTCCTGGTGGAGTGAAACTTATTTATTACTTACGTTGGGTCTCTCAGAACCTGAGTACTGTGTGTAAGTCATTTTACAGATCTGGTTTATTTGTAGGCAGACTGTTGGTTTTTTTCGCCTCGCAGGCAGACGCACTCCGCTCTCGGCATAAGTTCAACATCCAATTAGTCGCTTTCAAAGACAATGCTGTTGAGGGAGGGGTGGAAGCGGAGGTGTCTCTCCCCCCTCCCCCCCCCCCCCACAGGTTTCTTTAATGGTGTCCAGGAAACCACACAGAAAAACAAGCTTGTGAACTGTGTGCTGAAAAGACGAACTGAAACCACAAAACTGATGTGATCCTAATTCTCCATCCACACACTACCGTGCAAAGCTCGGTCCTGTTCAGTCAACGAAGTAAAGAACTATTTTTGGCGCATCCAGCATATGATTCTAGACCCAAATTTTACAGACCAATCGGCACTGAATACGTGGTGTCGTCAACGTCATGTCGGCCACCGTCACGTTTCAGGACATTACCTGATGCCCCTTCGACCTGAGATTTCAGACCTGAGATTTCAGACCGCTAGGTACTTCATAAAATGTGTTCTACTAAGTGAGTGAAAGGTCATCAAGTTCTGTGATGGACCAGCCAACATAAAAGTGATATCAGACTGCTTCTGCACAGCAGCACTGCCCTAACCTCTCCCAGCAAAGACGGTGGATCTGGCGCAAGGGAGCCACATTGCAAGAGAAGCTATGGGGGACCGGTGGCAACCACCGGACTCAATGTTTAGCATGACTGATGTCAAACGCAGAAGAGGAAGAAGAAGAAGACTGCTTTTAGATTACTGATTTAAGTATCGACATCACAGCACACCGGGCATACCCAAAGATCAGTGGTTCTTAACCTTCCTTTAATACAGTAACTCGTGTTGTAACCACCCCCAACCATAAAATTATGTTCGTTGCTACTTCATAATTTCAGTAAATATGTTTTCCGATGGTCTTGGGCGACCCCGGTGAAAGGGTAGTTCTGCCCACATAGGGCCGCGACGATGTTTAGTCTCATCAGCAAATGTCTTAAGGCTAACTATTGCTGTAGCACACTGATTATACACGCGTCATTCTCTTCCTCTGACGTACCAGTCCCTGCCGGATCCTAATTTCTCGTCCACACATTCTTACACAGGTTATTTCATCTAATCTCCTGTCTTCTGTCAACATTCGTTTATAAATGGTCTTCGGAAAATCGCCCTTGTCCAGTCCGCGTGTTTCCGCAACCTCTTGTATATCCCGGATAATACATCCAGGTGATTCCCCGCAGCTTTCAGACGTACCAATTTATTTTGGTGGGTGGAGGTGGGGCTGGGGCTAGGGAGGCGGCAGCGACTGGAATTGAAAACCTGCCGCCACTGTTTTCTGTTCTTGATTAGGTCAACAACAGGCATAATACCTTTGAGGATTCAGAGATGTGGTTTTATAATAGAATGCTTAAAATACCAGGGACAGCCACACACACACACATACACACACACACAGTCGAAGCAAAAGGTTTTGAAAGAGGCGGGAGCCCGAAGACAACTAATCACAGACATCACAAGGGGACAGTCATCATTTTTCGGCCATGTTATGAGAAGATGGGGGAAATAGAACATGTTGTGACCATTGGAAAGTTCTGTGGAAGGAGGGATAGAGGAAGACAGCGAGAGAAAGATTCTTGACAGTCTTGTTGCATGGCAGGGAGGTGTGTCAGCACACGAACTGATACATGCTGCAGGAGACTGTAAATTGTGCAGAGGCATGATCGCCCACGGCAGTCGGCAAGGCACCTAATGATGATGAATACCTTACGGTCTAACAACCAGACAAAAAAGTATGTGTATCACAAGACGGCTGTTAATTGGTAAACAAGGGGAAAAAATGTAAACACCAGTTAGGGATGTGACATTTAAGAAAATGTCATCTAGTGACCTGACACGCTGCGTTTTTTTCCTGAACAAACTAAGGCATACAAGGTGGATGTTTCATTCAAGGTTTTTTTCTACAATGTGTTTACTCATTGATTAGGTAGGTCAGTAAGTCAGAAGTCTCGTGTTGAAATCGTCTTTAGTCATGTTGCTCCATTATTTGATATCCGCACCAGCTCTCATCAGTTCAGAATATTTGTTTCGTTAATGTGTGTATGTGCGCGCGCGTGTGTGTGTGTGTGTGTGTTTTAATGGGGGAGGGGGTTATTCTCTTTAGGCCTATCATTAATATCACATACAGAAAGAATGAAAAAACATTAAACAATGAAACAAAGAAATATGCCATAAAGAATGATCGAACCCGGCACCCCGGCATTACGAAGCGCGTTCGCAACGCCTAAGCCACAGATGCCACCAGCGTCTGGAGCAGAGGTTTCCAAACTGCGTGTTGCGACTCGTGAGTCGGTTGTAGTACGAAGGTGTGCCGTGTGAACGTAAAGGCGTGAGCAATTTATGTATGTGTCCGTTTAACAAACGGTTTGCTAGTAGACTGAATTAACAGCTGTGTAGGAAGAATGTTTGACAAGAAGTGGCGCACCGACACAAAAAAAGGCTTTGAAAGCTATTGTCTAAAGTGTGCAGCTTGGTTCTTCTTCTTCTTCTTTCGTTCGCCTGAAATAAGTTGTCTATATCATCAGTTTTGTCTCTTGTATAGATTTCACAGTCGTTGTTAGTTCATTCAGTGGTCCATAGAGTTTACGTTCCACTGTTGTTCTTTTTGGCCAAAAGGTTTGCCTTAATGTGTCAAATTCGGTGCAGTTCTGGGGTACATGCTCTGCTGTCTGGGACACCCTTCCACAGGTACACATGGCTGATACACCTATCTTGAATTTTGTGTACATGTGGTTACGTAATCGGTCGTGCCCTGTTCTGAGACGGAGGATAATGACTTGTTCTGGTCTGACCATAATAAAATAGTCGTCTTGTGCTGGGACTGGTGGTTTCCTGATCAATTTAATGATTCTTTTCTTTTGGTGGTATGTGACTGGTACATCAGGCTGCACTTTTGTCGCACCTTCGCCTGCCAGTTGATCAGCTTTCTAACTTCCAGACACTCCACATTGAGACGGTATCCACTGCATTACGACTCTTCGCTGAAAGCTGAGTTGTGTCCGCAGTGTTTGCAATTCTAGTAGTTTCCTAG